GGCACACTAGTGTGCCACGGCACAGTGGTTGAAAAACACTGATCTAAGGATATGAAATGCAAGCCTCTAGCATACTGTATGCCCCTCTATTCAAATTGTGATTTTGAGGCTTCTATCTCCAAGATGGGTACTATAGTACTACAACTTCCATCACTTTCAATTTCTCAGAAGGACACTTGCTCTGCAATGATCTGACAGTGTACCTTCTCTGTACTGATGTTCTTCAAGTTCCAGTAAAACAGGTGGGAGGTATACTAAATTCTGTGACCCCCCCCCCAAGCTATTATAAATCCAGTATAGAACTTCTCTGTTAGCTTTTTTCCTTATCTGCAAACCAAACTACAAACTAAACACAGAATTGGCTCTTAAGCTTTTAGTCTAACATAACAGTATGCGTAAGAAGAAATAGAACCATACAATAATAACGCTTTTTTCTAGTTAATGAGAGAGTGGGGGGAGGGAGGGAGAGAGAGATCTCAACAGGATCAATATGATAAACAAAAGGTATTTAAAGCAGGTTAGTAACATTAATATATTGTTTAACATATTGCAGTCCTCATACAAATATATTACTTGGCTTAAGTTTGCTACGGGTCAAGCGTATCTGTCTTGCATTCTGTTGGATTTATTAAGAGGAATGACATAAGTGAAGGTTGCCTTTGATCACAATACAAGGGTCTAAGTTTTTAGCCTTGGGCTCCCTTTCCTCTTCCAGCAACTCCATTAAATCATTGGGTGGGTCATTTAATGGCACCAGAAGCCAGTTCTTTGCCTGCTGTGCTCTGTTTAGACTAGCTTGTTAATCAGTTCCTAGCAAACAGGACCAAGTTAATGGGCTGTTCCTCATGGCTCATTTAAAATGTTATTCACCCAGCAGAAAATTATATCAGCAGCATAAGAACTGCTGCCCCTGTAGCCAACTCTACTTTGCTCTAGGCTTGTGACTGGCAAAAGATGGTGTCTTTATTTATTTCATGCTGGACATGCTAAAGGGCTGGCAGATTCTCCTGTTTCCCTTCCCTCTTGCTAAACTTCACTTATAGGGGGGAAAATTCCATCCAACAGTTATCCTTAACATGGGATGAGATTGGACAGTTTTGACAGATGGCTAGACTGGTGGATTTAGCAGCCGTCAAAATTCAAACCAGACCTGGGTGACAAGTGTCCCAGAGGCCTGCATGGAAAGGAACTATTTTGTTACACAATGGCAATATGCATCCTTTGTCTCTTTCAGCCTGTTATCTGGGTTACTAATACACACAGTTGTCATTATTTCAGGGTATTAAAGTCATGTTCAAAAGTAATGACAGGTGATACAGGTGAGGTCTGGGGAGAGGAAAAGGTAGGGGCCTCCTGCACTATTTCACCCAACACTCCCATGTATGTCTCCTCTGCTAAATAAAGACATTTTAAAACCAAATGCCAAACTTTAGCAATTGATCAATGATGGTGTGGGGGGTATTGGAACAGTGAAGCAAGAGGGAAAATAAGCTTGTACATCCTCACCCAGTTGACTCTCTGGAAGAGTATTTTTTTGAACCTATATTGAAAAGAATAGCTAATGGCTACATAGAGGTGTGTGTGTGTGTGTGTTTAAATATAATCTCTTCATGCCAGAATTGAAAGTTGTGTTTATGGGATATATGAATATACTATGTCTATGTGTATATATAGATTTTAATTGTTTCCATAAGGGTTGTTTAATTTTTGAGTTTTTTCTTCTTCTGTTTAGTGTTTTTGAAGTGTATTCTTTATGATGTTTTATTGTTTGTTTCATTGTTTACCTTTTGTATTTTTGAATTTATTTTAGCAATCCTGCTACAAAATGTAACAATAGGGAAGAAGAAAAACATTAAAATGGTCACTGTTGCTTGCTTAAGAGGGGAGCACTCTTTTAGCAATACAGAAGCTGAGGAATAAGTTAAGGCTGCCTCAGATGAAAGCAGAAAATTAGATGGGGATGCCTGTGCCATGCTTAGTACAAGGGAGAAAGGCTCAATGAGGAGATGAAATAGACAAGGGTTAAAGATGCTACAGTGGAAATAAGGGAAAGAGTCAGATTTGCAAAGATGAGTTTATAGCTGACACAATATATACAGTTTATGTAGTTCTTTTCATGGGAGAATGCACAGCTAGCATTTAAAACACTTGAACATCCTTTTCAGGCCCATGACAATGTTGTGCTAGCTTGTGTAATGACCAACCCTTGCAAAGTTCCTTCAAATGTTGTTGGAAGGCTGCATCTCTCAAGATATTGTGAATTGCACAATTTCATAAGATTTTATATGAGTTCACTGAAATCTCAAGATTTGGTGATCCTGAAACATTCTGGCCTTTCCTTTGGATTTTGAAAATATGCCATGTTTAATTTGATGATGACAGGCACCATTTGTTGTGGGGTGGACATAGTTGGAGGAAAAGAGGTAAAGGGACACAGAGGCCTTTCCTTTCTCCAAATCATCCATTAACAGATATTGTAAAACCAGTGGAAAACTATCAATACTTACCATCAACATCTCACTAGTAAGGGAATTTACAAGGTCTGAGACAGATGAACGGGGCTCTGTTTTGTGATCAGTGTCCTCATGTTGGGTCTGACCTGGCACTGGTGTTGTGTTGACAACTTTCCCTCCAGAGGGTAATCTGTGGGAGAGAAGGGAAACCTTTACATATGTTTTGAATATAATAAAAACTCAATATTTGTAATAGGGAGAAAGAGTATATATTACGGTAGATCCATTCAACAGCAGAAAAGTAACAAAAATTATGCAGTATTATTATTTCGACATCTGGTATATAGTTTTGAATTATCATGATCACTTTCATTTGTGGCCCATATATTTCTGATATATACTGTTAAGTGATATTTCTCAGTTTTTCCTGGTAATGATTACTAATGAGAATGATGATAAAAACAACATATTGTTTTCAGACTTCTATTCTGCTTTTTCTCCAGCTCAAAGTAGTTTTACATGGAGATATCCCTTCAATTTATCACCATATCCTAAACTCTGGTCAGATTTTAGGCTGAATGAAGGAACTGGCTCAAAATCAATTTGTGACGTTTCCTGGTGAACTTGAATCTGGATTTCTCTGATGCTAGTCCAGCACTTTAACCACTATACCACCTTGGCTCTCATTATCTCTTGAGGCTGAGCCAGATCATGAATGCTGGTTGGATTTGCTGTGGAGCTTGCTGCCAATTCCCGTCCCACCTCACAGGCCATTAACCTTCTCCAAACACAAAATTCCTTCTGTCAAAGAGAGAAGTGCTTTTGTTTACTTTCCTTGACAGGCAATTTCTGAGATGACGTACAGCCAGATGGTTTCTCAGCCAGTGTACTCAGAGCACCCAGGGAACCTGAGTGCTGGGTGACAAAGGGATATCTCACAGGGCTTTAGAAAAGGAGCAGAGTCAAAAAGCTAGGATAGATTGTCTGTGACAGATCATATCTCTAGTCCAAAATATGACACAACCTGAGTTAAACCTCTTCACTGTAGCCTACTTTTTGCCAGATGAATCAAGCTGTTGCAGTTTTATCTTATTATCCACTGATTATGCCCCACTGAGCTGTATCAATGATAGCATATGTAGCAACTGCCTTCCAGCTTACTTTTTTTTGCAGCAGAGAGGGAAATTGTTAACCAAAAACATCTTGGCAAGCCCTGGCTTCCTTTGTGTCTCTACAACAGCATAGCTATGGATTCTCAAGTTGAGCTGAGAAGTAATATCTATGATACAGATAAGAACCTATTTCACCTGTTAATAAAACATTCAATGTGAGTCTCCACATAACATGACTTATTCCACATTCCAACTCACCTAGTCTAAATTATAGATTCACCAAAGCATATTTAAAACCTAGCCTCCTTCTGCTTCCTACCAGGGTATTCAAACATGAAATATGTTTCTCATTGGCTTTTATTTTAATCAGTGGTCCTCTCCTCCTGACAAGCCTTAGCAAACTTAAAGGAATCTAATGTTTTCAGTTAGTCAGGATGGGATATTATTATATCTGGCATAAGAAAATTTGGATTTTAGGATAGAGAAATGAGATAGTGAAAAAGAGAGGAACTGCTGGGCATGAGGGTGTGAAAAGGGCATCTATAGGGGGAAGATATAAATATTTTATTGTCTAAAAATCTATTTGGGAGAATGGATGCAGAATGAGAGAGCTGGTTACAATTTCCAGAGGCTGGACATTTAACAAAGACATATCAAGATTCACATGTGATATACAAAGACATGGAAGAGAATTTATGCAACACTTTTTTGGATAAGTTGAAGAACAAATGGAGTATTTAGTGCCCGGTTAAATAAATAATATTCATCTCGAGTTTAAATACATTTTACGTTTAAAGATAGAAAACTTGCCCTCTTCCACTCCAATTTTTCTGAGTGTGAGGAAAATACTGAATACTGAACAAATCTAGGGTAGATGTGCTTTGTTTGAAGTGTTAAATTTTCATTTGGAGGGACCTGCAGTATGTGTTACTTGGCCAGAAACCTGCTCTTTCGAGGCCCCTTGTGTGGATTTTATGGAAGACTTTTATATAATAAAATATTTATAGCACCCCCATAATCCACAGTTATTACTGTGTATCATTTGTGATGCTCTATATGTTTCCTCAGAGACAGGGAAAGTGCATCACAGAATGGTAGTATTTCTCTTCAGTAGCCCCCACGATTGGAAGGAGCAAAATGTTAAAGAAATACCTCTGTCTAGGTTGCCAGAAGTAGAGCAAGTCTATTCCTATAGTGTGGCATGGGAAGCGCTGGGCACTGAACGTTAAGCAAGGCATTAAAGGTCACCCATCATAAAGCCTAGTGACTGGTGCTGGGAGGAAAATAGGAATGCCACTTTCAATTTCTGAAGTCACAGTTGATAATTAAAAACATCAGAGGGAGAGTTTTGAAAAGCAACGGCCTTTATTACTCCAGCATGTGACAATAAATATATCTATCTGAATCAAAAAAATAGCTACCCACAGGGCTGAATGTACCCAAGAATGGCCCGGGGTGGTAGGTTTTGCTTGTCCATTCAGGGCAAAATTCTTACAAAATCATCAGAACATATGAATGCCTTGAGGATGATGGGGTTATTTTTCCATCTAAGCCAATTGCATTTGCTCTGATGTGATGCAACTTTAGGTGGTGTCCCACAGAGCCATTCCCACCACTTCCTACTGGGGCCTTCCAATATAGAAGCCATGCATGCAGTTCTATTCCTGAGCTGCAGTCCTAGTCATAAGAATACATGCTGGGGGCTCTTCCTGCGTGTTATGCAAGGAGCTTGAAAAAGAGCAAGTCTCCCAATGCGGAGAAGGGCTTGTAGAGCAGTAAGCCTAAAGCCGACTGTTTTCAACCACAACACCAGGCTTAAATCTTGTCAGCAGAATAGACTCACTGAAGTTGTCAATAAGAGACATAAAAAGAACCGAAGAAACATATACAGACAAAGTGTTCAGTGACAGACAAATAATATCAGACAGATGCTAAGGGAGAAAACCTCCAAGACTATGATGAGATATGAATCTCTTTCAATGTAACACAAAGTGTCAGATGCACCAATGAACTGTTGCAATGGTTTATCACATGCACATCTGTAGGTATCCAAACATGCAGACATATCTCTCACACAATCAAAAATACTGCTATCAAGAAAAAGAGCAATAAACAAATAACATTCAGGGGCAGGTTCAAGCTTGTTAGACCTATGCAGAAGGACAGACCAAGCCGTAGGAAATTTCAGATAGGAAGGTCATACTCCGAGACAGACTGGACACATGCAAAGGACTAGACATGCTGCCGGTGTATACCTGGAATAGAGACTAGCACATGCACATACAGATAAAAGAGACTGAAATAGCTGAAGAAAAAAAAACGTTTAAAATAAGTGTGTGTACGGGTGTGTGTAATATTAGAGAAAGTGTAAGCATATGCGGGAGATCAGTTGTCAGAGGTTATGACAAATCCGAAGTTATTTTTGCAACCACACTATACTGAATCAGCTGCAAAGCTTGTCTGGGAGTTCATGAATGCTGCAGAGTCACAAGAAAAGCAAAGAGACACAAAAAGGCTAAAAAGGAAGAAGGTCTTCTATTACAGGATCTGCATGGTGCCTCCTGATAGAACAGAAATAGAGTGAAAGAAGTGGGTAAGACAGAGAAACACACACACACACACACACACACACACANATGCCCTGTATTTTTGTGTAGTTTTTGTGCTTCCCTTCCCCTCCTTGGGTTTGTGCGCCGCCCTGAGTCCCGCTGGGAATAGGGCGGCATATAAATAAAATGAAACTCGAAACTCATTGTGAGAGGCAAAACAAGGAACAGACTAATGCATCTCTTGAAGTTCCTGACTTACTCTACTTCCACACTAACGACCTACAGTACACTTCCATAGCCATCCAGCCATACAAAGCCTCTTTTCAATGCTACTATTTTGGCATAATGGCAGTTGAACAGCGGATGCTATATTTCACTATGGAGGAAACAGGATTAAATTTGCTTAATTACATCACGGTACATAGGAATTTGCACAGGGCATCCTGGTTCTAGAAGATGAGCATCTGGTTTGGAAAACAGATTTTTAGAAGAATCAAATTTAAGCAAGCAAAACTAAATAAGAAATATGTGTGTTTCACCACGTCTCTGATGTTCTTTACTACTTGAGGAAGATTGACTTTAGTAGAACAATGCCTTTTCTGAAATCCACTTGAAAAACAAAATGGCCAGGGCTATTTAACCCAAGCCACATTCTACCCTCCAGCAGTTGCATTCTGCTCCATTTCCTTTGTATACTCCTGATAGCAGAACTACGGACATTACTATTTACAGCAACCTGAATAATACAAAGCTTCAAGATGAAACATAGATAGTCAGAAGACAAGGAGAGGAAACTACTAACAAGAACAGCAGCTTGTGGGAGGATGCTTTAGGAGTAAGATACTTCACTCAGGCTACTTTATAAAAAGATATGTCAGAGCTCTTAGATACTGACTAATGTAGGAGAAAGCTATTTAGGGAGCCTGTTGAAATGCATAGGAGACCATTAAATAGCATCTGGTAAGTTTCTAATGGTAGTAAAACGAGGTAGATCTACATACTTTTTCATGGCAATATCTTGACTGAAGGTAGTTTGAAAAACCTCAGCTTTGTGGTTTTTTTTAAAAAAAGCGAATGTATTTCTGTTATCTATTTATTTCAATATATGCAATTTTGTCTATCATTTGCCCTGCATTATATAACTTTTACACTAATAAATGTATTATGGTGCAACGATCCTTAATATAAGCATTTCTAGAACTGAATTGCAGTTCTTGTGCACTCGGTCCTTACTGATGTCGTAAGAAGTAGTGCAAAATAGGTTTTACAACAAGAAAACATAACGATAAAAAAAGCTATTTCCCCAAATCTTCTTTCTCAATTATTTATATTTCACCTCTTCAAACGGGCTATTAGAAGGTTTTTCAACTCATAGATTACAGTTCTGGTGCAGTTTCACAAAGTAATGGCTAAACCTTCATTCTAATGTGATCACTTTTCAAAAGTGCTTTAAATCTTTTTCTTAAAGGTTTAAAATGATGAGGCTTTGCACTGACGAAGTTACCTAGTTTGGGTATTGCAGAGGTTCCCAAACTTGGCAACTTTAAGACTTGTGGACTTTAACTCCTAGAATTAAAGAGCTCTGCTGGCTGGAGAATTCTAGGAGTTGAAGTCCACAAGTCTTAAAGTTGCCAAGTTTGGGAACCACTGGGGTATTGTAACACTTGCAAGAAACCAACCAAGTTCAGAGATCACCAAAGACCGCTCTGGATTAAAATGAATAAAGATCCCCATCACCGACCACGTTGCTCTCCATCTTATGATACAACTCTTCAGAATACAAATATTTAACCCGATGTCACTAAGTTGCTTTCCACTTCTCCCCTCTAAGGTTACCTCTCTTCCATGGCTGCTCTTCTCAATTCCACCGCAAGAGGGGAGCACATGCTATACATTGCCTATGTTTTATGTGAGAGAAATCTAGCTATTTCTTCAGCCTGATTAAAAACTGTCGGGAGGTGTCAGCTGATAACTCCCACGAGGGAAATCTTCCACAACTTCTCAATTCTAATTGAAGAAAAGCAATACAAGCAATAAAAATAAAGCCACAGTCTATGACTTTGTGTAATTGACCTCCATTGCATTTGTAACTCTTGTGGATTCACTTGATTCTCAAAGCTGTTTCACAAATGGATGTATATCACTAGCTAACCAATTTCATTTTGTTTAACCATTGGTGAGATCATTCACAAGATAATTGCCATGTGATCATTCTGAAAGTGTAGATCAGCTTTATATTAGAAATTTGCTATATATCAGGTAAGGTCTCATTTCCAATCCCAGACCACACATGTAACATTCTCACCACTCAGAATTGGTTTATGATGGAGATGATGGAGATGGCTGTTGTCTAAATATGTTATATAAATAAATATTCTATGCTCTATGTCCTAGTGAAGAGCTACTACCGAGCTGCTGCCTGTTCAGAATCAGGTTGTGCAAGTGGCGGGTGAGTGCGACCAGGTGTGAAGCTCCACTTGTGTGAGCGGCAGGCATATATGCCAGATGGAGCTGTGCACATGCGCATGCCTGCCACTCACACAAAATCATGTCCTCTGACCCCCTTCGTGCCAGGCCACCATGCTGGAAAGCTTGGGACCACTGTCCTAGTGGANGAAGGGGAACATTGGTAAAGGACTGACATAATTAGCATGGCCTAATTTTGGTCATTGCTGAGGGTATTCTCAGGACGATGTGGGCCGAGTAGCATTTGGCCAGCAGGTTTACTGCATATACTAGTTATGAAAAGATCGTATAGGACACCAAGGTCAAAGGAAAGGAGTAACCAAATGATTTTTGATTCAGATATCTGATTGTATGAAATTTGCTTCCCATTGTATGGGATTTATTTCAAATATCTGAAGCCCCTAAGATATGTTAAGGTATGGCTTCTCTTACACCAAAGTTACAAGATCTCTGCATCTTTGGTTTAGAAGACACATACCTGCTTGTCCTGATCTATCCCAAAATTTTCACAAGGAAATTTCACAAGGAAATTTAATCTGACAATGTGAATATTTTCCAGATGAAACTGAAAACACTAGCTTTACTTTTTTAAAAATATAGATCATGCAAGATCCTATCAAGGCATATCTAGAGCCCTTTTATAAAAACTCTACTGTACCTGACTGACATTAGGTATTCCTGTTCCTGCTAAAGATGAATTCACCCGAAATACAGTATGTGTACACTGGAATACAGTGAAGCAACTCTATTAGTGGAATATATCTAAACATTTAACCCATAATTATGGCAAATAGATGAATTTACTTATTAGCTATCTGTAACCCAGTTTTCAAATTACCCAATGATACAGGAATTATTAAATGGGTCTAGATCTATGCTGTTACTTTGAATTGTGTTTTTCTAACATTTTGCTTTATTATGTGGTCTTATACTGATTTTTTTTTACTGTTGTTGAATGTTTGCTTAAATAACAGCAATAACATTAAATAAATGGGTGCATGCTGAAGTGATCGTAAGTTATTTCATAAATAAAATTTTGAGTTTTAAAAAAGGAATAAATATTGAAATATGGACTTACAGAGATACCTGTAAGAGGTACAGAGATTATGTGATAAATAGAAGGGCCTTCTTTTCTTAAAGGAAAACTGGCCTTCTGAAGTTGCTATTTGTCTAAGAGGTAAGCTGTTAGCTTTCCTTCAGCTTGCAGAAAGGAAAACTTTTCATCAAACAATAAGATAAAGGTTGGGGAGAATGGTGTCTTCTCACTGATCAGATCTGATTAGGACCCACTGCAGTGGCTGTCTTTTTGCATACAAAAAGCACACAAATGTGATTTGTGAATGAATGCTGGCCCAAGGTTCCACAATTAAGTATGTATATTATTAAGACTTCCAAACTTAGAATGTCTCACACAATTTTTTATAACAATGTTATAAAACTGGAACTGGTCTTCATAACCAGTTCTAGAAAGACATCCTTCACTGGCTGTTGCTGATTAACTGCACAACAAAGGATACTTTCACTTAAGTTAAGTAGAGATGCATTATGGAATGAACATGAGCCAATGTGTTATTTCCTCTCCTAGAGCACTGCAATGATTTGAGAGATTGTTTACCTACTACTACTTAAATTATACATTGAAAAAAGCCATGTGAAGCATGCACCGGGACCATCAAATAGGAAGTGGGAAAATATTTAGTGAAACAGTGCCTCAACACAGTTAAAAATAGCTGGTAGGTGAGAAATGATGCCAATAAAATTAATTCACTGATCTTGTGAAATCTGCTCCTTCACACCATTTCACACCCATGTGAGAACTATTGAGGGCTGTGCCTCTGCCTGTAGCTAGCTAGGCAGTTCTTCTTGGACTCCCTATTGTTTAGCTCCTTCTATGTGTTATAAATAACTATATCTTAGTGAATCTCTTTAACCGACTGAGCGGAAGGTAGGGAAGAGGAAAAACAAGGAATGAGACTATTTATTATGGAGTAGCAATACGTTTACTACTAGGTAGGTTAGTTTAGGTCATCCAAGAGCCAAATAAAGGCCATTCTAATTATAACAATGTTGCACCTCAATTTGGGGGTAGAATTTATCTATCTAATTGGCTTCATTAGGATGATAATTCATTATCAAGATAGCCTAAATTCCTCTATATTTTACTCCAGCAAGACTATCATACAAAAAACATTTTCTTTGCCACATCTGTAAAAAAAGTATCTTTTAGTTGGACAGGTTACTGAGAAGAATTCTCTGCATTATGGCTCAGGAAAACTTCCTGTCCCCTTAAAATCTAGGTTCATTTTCAAGAAATTTCATTCTGAGGATAAAAGGTCATGGCTGTTGACAGGCAATAAATACCAGCTTATCTCTTTATTCTTCAAACCTATTGTTCTTTTTTAGACATTTATAACATTTGAATATTATGTCCTCTCTATTTTTACAACAAACCTGCTGACCCCGAAGTAATTTTATGAAGTAAAATCAACTCGTGTCCTTTTTGGTTAAATCTTGGTAAGTAATAGACAAAAATACTGTCCCATTTTTTCTTATAAATATATTTAGAAGCAATTCCTAGAACATTCAGTAGAAATGTAATCTGCACAGAATTCCACTTTACTTCTGAATTTACATGCAATCATCACATTAAATGGATTTGTCTCAAGACTAGTCTTAAACCCAGGATCTGAGATTTTCTTTTCTTCTTCAGGTGTGTGTGTGTATGTCTTTCTCTTTCTCTTTCTCTCTCTCTCTCCCTCCCTCCCTGTGTGTTAGTGAGAAAGAGATAGAGAAATGCTTGTAGTAGAACATATACTCTGTGTTCATACATTTTCAGGGATATAAGTGAAAGGGCTATATGAAATTGGAGAAATGTACTAGGATTTATGTGAGTTAAGTACGCAGTATGCATTTGGGGGAGAAAAATAGCCACAGGATTCCAGTGATTTTTCGAGAGAAACTCAGCAACCAGCAGGGGAACAAGGATGCCAGCAGGATGGTCTTAGAGTGGCTCAGTTGAGAATTTCTATTTCCAGAACCAGCTTGCCATTCTTTCGTTGGGCTAGGATGGAAAGCTCTCTTTCCTCTTGCTGGTTCTTGCGGCTCAAAGCCTCTGTCTCCTACTCATACCTCTTGTCCCCCTGAGAATTCTGGTTCTGCTGGTTCCCAGTAGTTTGTAGATCAGGTATATTGGCAAAGTCGTCCTGTTCTGAGAGCCCCAAAACAAGTGATAGCACCACCATACGGCCTTCCCTGTCCAGAGGTGATCCATCCAGGGGAGTGAAGAGGCCCCAGATTCAATGAGCAGGATGCAGGTAAAAGAGGCAGACAGGAAAGAGAAAAAAGAACAAAGCATAAGACAAGATGCTAGAAGGAACACAATTATTATAAAACTACAATGAAAAGGAGACTATAATATGTAACTACTGTTCTCACAATACACATTAAATTCTCAATCCTCTTTGAAAAGATTCAGAGCAAGAATTAACAGAGGTTAGAAGATACAAAAGAATTTATTACAAGGGAGTTGCATAAGACAGAGTCTAGAAAGCAAATTTTCAAGAGAAAAGCATCTTGCTACATTGGCCATTCTTTGGCCCAGATAAGAAACTTGATCTATTTCCAGAATCATTGGTTCATTTATTATTTTTACTTAATAGATTTATATTCTGCGCTCAAATAATATTTATATTTTCTTCCTCATGTTTTTTTCTCCCCAATAATCTGGTGAAGAAATTTGGATTCAGAGAATTACTGGTCCAAGCCATTCAGTAAGGTACCACAGATGAAAATGGATTTGGATACCACTGATTGCTGATGGGAGTTTGAAACAATCGTGTTGCACAAATAACTGCACGTTGCAGTATATTTTACAAAATTGTAGCTTGCTACACAGTTATTAAGAAGCACTAAATATTTTGGCATTATCAACAATAATTATTGTCTGCCAGCCAGAGTCACTTCTCATGAAATGGGCGGCCATAGAAATTTAACAGATAAATAAATAATAGCGGGAGATTAGGTGAAAATCATTGGAGTGTAGTTATTGGAACTACTCTGGGGTCAATACCAATGAAGTGCTTTGTCAATTATTGCTACAATTAAAACTGTTTATTGTTTGGGGCTAGAATTTGATATTTTCCCATCTTTTGCAGTGGAGAATATTACTCAAATCTTTGCATATATTTAATCTTATCACGGTCAAATCAAAAATCACAGTAAAGGATGTTATGACCATCTGAAATCCCAACCAGAAAACAGAGGTTTTCGACTTTGATATATAGGCCTTGTAAATTTGTGTCCAATGTGATTTTAAAGCTGATTTCTAAGTTTTAGAGAACTCTAAGCATTTTTGTTCTGAACAAGAATGTTTTGGCCTTTTGTTGACCAGCAGTTATTACCCCAAGGTGCAAAAGACAGTGGTGCATAGAAAAACAATGCTGTGACTGCAGTTTTGGTGTTGTTCATATATCAAACATGAGGTATCTTTTCGCTGTCATCCAGGCTATCCTGTTTATCATTCCTTGTGAGAATGTATCCTTCCAAATACACTAGCTGAATTCAGAATGGGTCAAACAACTCCGGAACTAAAAGAGGCTCTGAGTAAGAATTATGTGATAAAATCTGAAGCTGCCTGAGCTGCAATGTACCAGAGACCAAATGTGAAAGGACATGGAACTAGAAAAGGGAACAATTATGACAGCTAAATGTCATGGAATATTCAAATACATTATAACTGGCCATCATCCTCTGTTCTTCCCTCTTTATCTGAGTTTCACAGATGTTTAATAAAAAGATAATGATACAGTTTTGGATATGAATCAACAAAGAAGCAGAATCTTTAATCAGCAGGATCTTGCTCTGGTTTGGCTCAAATCTTGTGGCCAGCTTAAAATAAAACCCAGAGCAAAATCTAAGACTGTGAGTGTCATATTGGTCTGTTTGTTCTGTAAATAATAAAGGACTTCCATAGAAACTCCAACAGTGAGAGAAGTAATCTATGGCAATAAAATTAGAAGTGATGCTAAAGTACTTGTTTAAGTGACACATTATGCTATAAATTGGCTATTTTTTTGATATTTTATTCATCATTTCTTTTACATCCCCTCCTTATTCTGGTCAGACACACAGGCCTACCTGGGAAATTTACTTTTCAGTAATAAGGCTCCTGTTAGGTGTTTTATTTAATAGAAAGTATCATGGACACGAACACAGTAAGAGTGAGCCAATATTTGTAACATCAATAATATTTTGCCCACGCTGAGATTATGAACCAGACCACAACATCCTCAGGAAAATGCTACCAAAATTAGCTACAAATTCTCTCCAATCCAGTTTCATATAGCTGTATTGCTGAGAGTGGATATTTGGGGCTTGCACTAAAATTTTGTAGTGGAATCCCATATAAGAAGGGTGCTTCTGCTTATGACTCCAGCTTACCTTAAAAAGGGGGGAAACGATGGAGGTTTATATCCATCTTTTGGATGTGTCCCAAATTCTGAGCTTGCTGGAGTAGGAAAAATGTTTTTGTGGGTTTGATCCAAGAAAAACTTTCTAATATGTAGCAATATTGAACACTGCCATAATCAACCTTGAACCCTCATTATAGGTAGGCTAGGGAGTGTCATCTTTACTTTCCCAAAGTTTGGCAAGCATCATCTTCTCAGAATGAGAAGCCACATTTGCAAATTGTACATTTCTCAAAAATGTTTTGGGGAAAAAGAGGAAACTCTTCAAATAATATCAATCTATTTAACATTTCAGTAAAAACTTTAAAAAGTGGCTTATTTCTCTCCTGTCATTTGATAGGAAAACATACGAAGCCTAGAAATTCTGAAGGGAGCTTTGTTTGGATCAGAGATGAAGCAGGCAATTCCCAAAATAGCTAGAGGTAAAGCAACCCATTTTCTGAAATGCTAAAGCAAGATTGGGGGCACATTTTTGTTTTGATTCTTAGACTGATTTACCATATGTTTGATGAGATAGAAATTCAGAAGATTTCAGTCTGGCAGCCATTTTAAAAATTAATGAAATAAGAAGAAGAGTCTGCAGCTGGATGGCTGAGATAGTTCATAATATCTAGAAGAACATCTCTGCCAATGTTAGTTGTCTATCAGAAAAGGAAAGATTTCTATATGTATTTTATGCTGTCCTAACCTTTCCCACGGTTTCGAGACTTTCTCAGGCTGATCTATAAAATGTTTCTGTATCTTACATCCGCATAGAAGGAAGCAAGGAGCATGTAGTTCAGGAGATAGGAAAGGCACCTTAACTCTACACTTGTCCTTCAGACTACTTATAATGAGTTATTCACACATAAAAATGTAATCGACAGCTTGCTCTATCTTCAGGGGCCTTCGATGTACTTCAGAATCCAAAGTGACACAAAGGCTAAAGTGGTTGTTCTCGCTTTCAATAATAGCCAAAGACAATCACCGACTCCCAGACTCTTAGTTTCTCTGTGTCTCACTGTTCCACAACTGTAGTTAAAAATATGTCATCTCACAAGCCCAGTCACATTGTTTTAATTAATGATTATTTTAATTCACAAATGTATATGACTCTGCATATCTTCTGCATCCCCCGAGTTTGAAAAACCAGGACCTTAATTTGAGGAGCTTGTCTTGCTGCCAAATTGAACTGTTAGGTTAACAGCGGGGACTGTAACAAATAAGGATAGGATTGCTCTTTGAAATAAAGAGTTATAAAAAAGCTTGATGGTTTTAAAGGAGAAGATGAATGCCATGCCATAGGTTTAGCCATTTTGGCTCCTGAATCCTTCAAAATGAGAAGTATTTCTTATTGTCTTGAGAGTGTGTGTGAGGGTTCAAAAAGGAGCATTAAGTCTCTGCTTTGTTAAGTCTTTTTAACAGATGGGGTAATCAGAAATGTATACAGTATTCCAAATGTGGGCACACCATAGAGTTGTACAAAAGCATTTGCAATATTGGCATTTTTATTTCCAAGCCCTTCTCTAATGATTTCTAACATGGAATCTATATTTTTCATAGACACTTTACACTGAATTATCATTTTCATTGGGCTTTCCACTATTAATGACCTCAACTTCTTATTTCTGATGATAGAATACTCAGATTCTGTCAGTATATAGATGAATCTAAGGGGCTTCACCTCCATGAAGTTAAATGGAATTGCATTTGCCATTTGGCTAACCATACACCCAGTTGTCAGAGACCCTTCTGAAGCTCTTTGCAATCATTTTGGTTTTTATCACTTTGAATAAATTTTAGGGGAGTGTTGGATTGGGTTGGACCAATCCAGCATTCTGTTCCCATACTGGCCAAAAAACAAAGACCGAAGTTGCACAGATGGTAGTTATCACATGGAAACAGTTTTGGCAGTATGAACTGACCATAATGTGTACCCTGGATCTTAGTTATGTCTTGATTTATTTCATTCCTAACATCAACTTCCCTTAGGAGCCCAAGGATTAATTTAAATACATCTTTTCCTTGAAGTTATGATCTAACCTTTAGTTTCATTTCACTTACTCCAATTACAGCCATTTTCATAATAATGATACAAAATATTTATAGAGAATAGATCAGTCATTCCTAAGCAGATTTTCTTAGATAACTTACACCTCAATGCTCATAATTTTCAGCAATCGTGTTAATTAGGGTCCATCACACTAAGAAGGCATTAGATTAATGGGATAAAAATTAAGACATAGGAAACACACTTATTTTCACAACCACAATATTTGCTCTGTAGAATTGATGGGTTGAGAAGTTGGGAGAAAGAGAAAGTCTAGTTATGTAGACATTGTCCCAAAGATCATCCTCTCTGAAAACAATAGTTTAATGAATTGTTGTTTTATTGTACAAACACTACTGGCATGACATACTCAGATCTATTCTTAGTTTTCTGTTTATACACTTCAGCACAGAGAATGGAAAAGATACCAGTTTTTCCACCCAAGATCTGTTAGACTAGAGGATTCTTTGGTATTCATGAATGAACTTTTAATTGTGCTGATGAATTTGTGACCAAGGGCATCTAAAATTCTGCATTGGTTGAGCAACAGGTGAAGAGAGTGTAGGGATTAATCTTAATCAGCCTAATTCAAATTTTCAGATGGCGTCTGCTACATACAAAGTTTGCTTTTACAGATTTCTGTAATAAGAATGTTAGGTTTGATTTATTCGTTCTATGAAGTCATCTCACTCTGTGATCACTAAAACTAAGGGTTTGTTACTTACAGCTTATTGTCCAGGTTGGAAAGCATTTTACCTTATACAGTATCTGCTAACATGTGGAACAAGTCTTATTTCCCTTGGCAAGGTTACTCTACTGTTCCTACTAACTCAAAAGCCAGAAGATGTTCTGTTCCAGATGGAAATAGTATTGTCAATGTTTGAAAAGTAATGTCTTATTATATATTTCTAATACAATGGCTGATTTGAACTAATTCTGTACAGATATTATGGATAGTAATGCAGTATTAACCATCATGGTTATGACCCAAATATATAGTCACAAATAAAAGTGTCTAGGAATTTAGACTTATCTTTAAGATGTGCAATGTTGGATCTTCTAGGTACGTTCAGTTTTCAGCATTGAACTGTGCAGTAATTGGAAAAAATGATATTTTTTAGTGGAACCTTATTATGTGATGCATTCTTTAATAAACTTTCCTAGTAAGTTTGGATCAATGCTAAATTAAAAAAAAATACACTGGGAAGTGAGTCAGCTTTCGTTGATTGAACCTGAAAGTTTTTCTACTGAATGGCTTTATTCCATGGATTTGTTTTGGTTTATCCTGCCTTGCGTTTTAAATGAGGGGTGTCAAACTCAAGGCCTGGGGGGGGGCAGATCTGGGCGACAGATTGCTTAGATCTGGCCTGTGGGACCGCCCTGGAAACAATGAATCAGCCGTAGTTCTTCTGTTCTTCTGTTCTTCTGGTTCTTCTGTTCTTCTTCAGTTCTTCT